ATGAAAAAAATTACTAGAAAAAATAAAAGAAAAGTTGGTAATTATAATTAAAAAAATCAAAATAAAATTAGATTAGATCGTAAACAAATTATAGGGTTTTTTTCTGTCAAATCAGCTGCCTAAATCAAGACAAGTGTTTGACATTTCTGAGAAGTGCAATAACGCGTTTTCTGTGGCAAACTTATCTAGCAATTCATAAATAAGAGCGATGAGACAATTCACTGGCTTTACGGATAATTAAAATGCCTATAAAAAAACATAAAAACAAAAAACAAATTTCTCCAGGAATCCAGGCATCCAGAAAACAATTATCTGTGGTGTTATTTACACTACGAACTGATTATGAATTAATGATTTTTCAACGCGCTCTTTCACAAGCCATGTGATTTACCGCTGTTGGATTACGTTTGGTGCATATAATGATTATAAAGGACATGAAATGTTGCTCGAGCTATTGGAATTAAAGCGGTGCAACTTTTGTATTTTAGCTATAAACTTTGGTCTATAAATTACATAAGTTTTGTTTTGTTTTAATAGAATGTGATTCTATATACATATGTTTTAGAATTAGCTGATAAACTTTTTAATACATTTTTTTTTACAAAACAATCTGAATAACTTTTAATATTTTTTGTTTAATCAGAGTCAATCTTTACGGTTATCTGATTAACTTAAAACAAAAAAAATATTTTCTTTAAGAAAAAAACTTTATCGTTATCTTACTACATTTTTGTTTATAAAAAAAATAAAAATAAAAACAACTGTAATTACAGAAAACTTCAAAACATATTTAAAAAATAATAATAATAAAATACTTTAAACTAAATTTTTCCTTTTCTTGCCTCCAATTTCGCAATTTTAATATTTATGTGCGTTTAAATATTAAAATAATGGCATAGAAGTCAGAAGCAACTTGTAAAAAATTAAATTAAGAAAATGATTTTTTATAAAAATCTAAAAAAAAAATAATCGACAAAATAATTCGCAAATGTAAATTAGCTATTTTTGGGTCAATAATTCAGTTTCAGGATATTAGTGTAATTCTTTGCAATAATATTTAAATGTCTGTATGTATATATGTATTTATGTGTAATTGTGCGCATTGTGTGTTTACATGTCGTTTCATAAATACAATACGAACTTACTTCAGGCGCTCTCCGTTAGAGTGTAACATCCTGTATTATATCCGCTTTACGTATGCAAGCATTAATAGATAAAGAATAGGTGATAATATTTATAAATGAGTTAAATGCACAAAAAGCTTTGATTCAAATATTTTACGCTCAATTACTTAAAATATATATATTTACTTGTGTATGTATACATGTATGGGTGAATATAAGACTACAAGTAGCAGAAATTTTTGGTTTCGAAAGTAGCCAATGCTTTCATTATATGTAGATATCTGTCTCTTATACACATCTCATCCATTATATATGTGTATATACATATATAACATTTAAAAGTACATTTGTTTTCGTGTATATTACGATAATGTACATATAATAATAAAAACGAAGAGTAGTCAGTCATATCAAATTGTGTTGACTATTTTCCTCAGCAGCAGCATTTATATACAAGTATGTACCCATATACGTATTRGGATATTAATTGGCATATTTTCCAATCTATAAAAAAATTTTCACATACACATTCATAAACATGTGTGGGAATATGTGTTACGGAAGTAAATGGAAACGGAAATGTGATTGCGCATGCTTCTGAGAAAGCAGCAAATGCCGGTTATGTGTCATATTACATACAGTAACATGTGCGTATTTAATACCTACTTTCAACTATGCAGACTATTCAAACTGTAATTATGAGAAGTTTTACACTAACAACAAGTATAGATACTATATATATTTGTGTTTGYAGCTTTCTGCTTCAATGACAGAGATGTATGACTAATGTAAAATTTTTAATTGAAATACCAAATGTTCGTTAGCATGACAGACAAATCGAAATAGTGCCCAACTCACACATATGTACATACTTTTYGTGAATAGGAAACGGATCAATCACTTACAAGTGTAGAGGCCAAAAAGCAATAAACACCCCTAATGTTCGTTAGTTCGAAAATAAATTTATTTTTACTTGCAAATATTTTATAAGTTTTGAATGAAATACTTTTCTATTCATAAGAAACTTGCATATGAAATTTCAGACATAATATAATAAAATATTAATTTAGTGAAGAATGTGATTACTTTTACTTTCGCCGGTAACATGTGCTGTGAAATCGATAACTTTATTAGTTTTCTCTCCTTTTTTTTTATTATATCTACTATAAGTGCAAAATTTTTCCGAATAGGCTCATGTAAACATTTTTTTGTGACTGCTACAGTCTTTTTTATGTTCATATGAAGTTTGATTTCGATATTTTGATTACTTGTGTTTGGCAGTTACTTCTTTAGGAAGCAAAAGTTTGTYTAGGAATCAACAATTAATACGCTAAAAGCTTCCCCAAAAGATTATTATAATTATAACAAATTACATATAATTATTATAACCCAAAGATTACTCTCCTCCTGGCCAACCGACGAGAGGTTTTTGAACCGACTCTAACTTGCCATAATGGATTAGGTAACTAGGGTACAAAAGAGATATATTAAAGAGCCAATATAGATTTAACCAAACGTGTAAAAAATGTTTATGTCACTAAATCCTTTAAATCAACGTTTAACAAAACTGGCAATACCTTTTGCTTTCGAGACTATGTTATCAATATGAAAACTAAAATTAAGCTTAAGGTTTATAGTAACTTCTAAGTCAACAAAATTATAGTCTACATCTACTAATTAACTATAGACTGGCATACTCCAACCACCAAGTTTTGCATTATAGCCATTTTCACTTTCACCAATCTTATTGCGGGAAAACAATATTTCATACAATAACAAAAATACCAAGTGCAAGTTGGCATTACAGAAATACTATTATCAATACATTATTAAGAAATGGAATTATAAAATTAGTATATATTAGGTTGTTAAAAAAGTCTTGCGGTATTTTCGCTAGTTGGCGCTGAGAGCGTGTAGTTCTA